TATATATAGCGCATCTTGGTGCCATTTTGTTTTCATTTTGATTTAAAAAACACTATACTTTTTCTTTTACTGGAATGAATAGAGAAACCAGGGGTGTGGAGTTTTAGTGACATTCTACATGATTAAGAATACATTCACAGTGGTAAGTTTGGTCTTTTGCCATTACTAGTCCTTCCCTCTGCAAAAGTGATTTGTAAGCTGTCTTGTCTGGACCAGGAGGGTGGTCTGTTGACATTATGTAGGACAAATATGCACACCGGTGCCAGTGAACAACAGTAAGGAAACTTTCTGTCATTAAAACTTCACCTCCAACAAAAGTAATTCAATTACTGCATAGCACACCATATATGCAGAGGATATAATTTATAATTCAGAAGGGAAAGGGCATTGATTCATTACATTACTTTATCAGTTGCCAGCAGTCCATTAAATTGCACTCCAGGCCACAAAAAGAACTTACTGTGATCACAAAAAAGCCACAGCAGCACGTTCTGGCCACCATTTTACCAGTGCTTTTATCCCGATTAAACAAATTACCTGTAAGAAGAAAGGTTTTTGGAATTGTGAAATGAAAGTGATGGACCCATGTGGTTATTCTCTTGGTGTTTCTAATTCAACAGTAGTTGAGTGGTGTAAATATGTTTGGGCTGGCTAACGGGTAGAAAGTTTCTGCAACCCAAAAGACCTCCACAGTGTCCTTGGCTCGACAGTGTACACAGTAGATGTAGGAGTTGAAGTGCTTCACCAATTAAAAAAGTCCAGATACAATTTTATTCCATTTGGGTCAGGTGACATTCAAGAAAAGTAGTCACCACATTTTGGGGGTTCAAAACACACCTACTTTATCAGGGCTTATTGAAAGAAATCATGTATGTGGACTACAATCCCTGCAGCAAGTTGTATTTAGTTGTGATGGGGGTACTTTAGTCAGCTAGTTTGGCATCACAACTCAATACAACTCTCACAAAGACCTAACAGGCACAATTCTGGACTAAGGATATTAGGAAAACCATGGGCGTCCGCAATTGAAACTAATCACGTGTTGCTAAAATTCACAAATATATCTCCATTGCCATACTGCATGGAAGAAGTCCACACTCTCACCGCATAGGTCAGAAGTGGCTAATCCCAGTGATTTCAATCTAACCAGAGTGTAGTATATTTGCCTCTCGAGGAGATCAGTGACTTTATATATGTTGAATCAAATTCTTGCCAACTGTCCTCAGTCAGTGTAGGTATATTAGTCGCACACTTACTTTGTGCTTTGTGCAGCCTATCTTGTTTGGCATCCAGGAGTACAGAAAAATAACTTAGAAACCAGTTGTGTTGTATCACCAGTTCTGATGTAATGTTTCAATAAAAGAGTCTTTAGTTGAGGGTGTGTGAGGCCTAATTGTGCATGAGTAACATGATTAAGGTGTATGCAAAGGAAAATCTAGGAGGAAGGATGAGAGTTCTCATAGAATTGTGTCAGGTCCTTAAAGTGACATTAAACCCTCAGATTTTTTAACATAAAACAATACGGTAATGTGTACCTTACTGTAATCCATGGTTGTTTCCCTTCTCTTTGCTGCTCTTCCTTTTAAATTCTCATGTCTTCTCATGCTGGGCAGAACTTCCCTTTGCAGCTCAGTGCCTCTTCCTCATTGTCACAGGTTGGCTAGAACTATGAGGTGAGTGGAAATCACTCATCTCATAGTTCTCCTTTAACCCTCTTGGGCATGGAGTTCACCAGAGCTACACAAGTTGCCACTGGAGTCCTCTTCCACTCCTCCATGACAACATCACGGAGCTGGTGGATGTTAGGCACCTTGCGCTCCTCCACCTTCTGTTTGAGGATGCCCCACAAATGCTCAAAAGGGTTTAGGTCTGGAGACATGCTTGGCCAGTCCATTACCTTTACCTTCAGCTTCTTTAGCAAGGCAGTGGTCGTCTTGGAAGTGTGTTTGGGGTCGTTATCATGTTGGAATACTGCCCTGCGGCCCAGTCTCCAAGGGAGGGGATCATGCTCGGCTTCAGTATGTCACAGTACATGTTGGCATTCATGGTTCCCTCAATGAACTGTAGCTCCCCAGTGCCGGCAACACTCACGCAGCCCCAGACCATGAAACTCCCACCACCATGCTTGACTGTAGGCAAGACACACTTGTCTTTGTACTCCTCACCTGGTTACCGCCTCACACGCTTGACACCATCTGAACCAAACAAGTTTATCTTGGTCTCATCAAACCACAGGACATGGTTGCAGTAATTTTGAGGGGACAGCAAATGTACACTGATATACAAACTGTACACTCACTACTTTACATTGTAGCAACGTGTCATCACATGAAATGATATAATAAAATATTTACAAAAATGTGAGGGGTGTACTCACTTCTGAGATACTGTATATACCATATCCTTATTGAAATTAGACAGGACTTCAGCCTCATGGACAGACAAATGCGCTGTAAATGTTTACATTTATAGGATTTATATTGGTGCATACAGTGTAAAAGGGGAGTGGACACACACTCTCCATATATAGACATATATAGACATTTAAAACACATATAACAGGAGAATGACAATATCACGTATCTCACTTTGACAAGCTTAAGAGAAATAACAGTCTTTAAAAGCACCCTTGCATACCAAGCCTAATTAACAGCCTAAGTGGCCATGAGGATCAAAAAATCACTAATATCAGGACTCTTCTCTCTATTTTAGTTCAGAATGCATATAAAGAAAGGTTGTGAAATATCCTGTATAACATTCAGCAAAAGTAATGAAGGATATTTCTAGTTTATTCAATTTGGAAAACTTTACAAAGTTAACTTTGTACAAATGATGTTACAATACAATTGTAAATAATTCTGCCTTGTGTGTTATAATTACCGTATTTTGCGCTCCCTAAGGCGCACCGGACCATAGGACGCAGGTTCTGTAACAGGTTCTGTGACAGAAGCTGTGACAGAAGCTGCAGTTAGTGACCGCTGAGACAGGTAGCGATTCCCCTTTGATCCCCTGTGATTACAGCGCCACGGTCTCAGTGATCACACAGAGCAGACAAAGAACGGAAGTTCTTTGTCTGCTCTATGGGTTCTATGGTAAGCTCCTATGCAAAAACCATGGCAGGCAGGGGGGGGAGGTTGGGCGGACACGATCGCCACTGCCGCTCAGTTTTAATACAAGTGATCTGGTTAGATCACTTGTATTAAACGAGCAGCTGCTCCCACTGTACATTTAGCTCTGCTTTAGCAGGGCTAAATGTACAAAAAATTACTCGCCCGGCGCTCGAAACTGCATGTTCCAGCGTCTGTTATAGGGATTCGCTCCATAAGATGCACACAAATTTTCCCCCGCCTTTTTGGGGGAAAAAAGTGCATCTTATGGAGCGAAAAATACGGTAAACAAACTATTAAAAAGGTTGTTCTTTTCACACTAGTTGCAATCAAATTGCATAGTATTTAAAGAGGAATTATGGGGAGAGTGGATTACATCCCCATAAATATAGCCGACGCGCGACACTGAGCTGAGACTCGGCTCTAAGATCGGGAACTGAGTGATCACAAACCACTGAGTAGATCCCGGTTTTCTCCCTGCAGAGAGTGATGACTGTCAGTCACCGGGTCCCTGCAGGGATTCCCCCCTCCACTCTCCATTCCATCAGCACTGACTGGAGGAACAGGCAGGGGAGGGGGAGGGTACAGCTGGCTCTGCCTCTAGAGGCGCAGAACCAGCTGTCAATATTGTCGGGATCCGTCCCGGCTGCAGCACGGCTCTGCACTGTCACCATATAGCGGGACATAGCTATGTGAATATGTCTATATGTTTAGAATATGTCCTCCTGTGAACCTAAAGAGAACTATGGCAAAAAAAGTTGGGCCATTGTTTTCTTTTAAGTATAGTTTTGGCAAGCAAACTGTGTTGCCAAAGCTATATTTTAACACTACACAAATTACATTTTTAATAATATTTTTCTGGTTCTTAGTATCATTGCCAGTTTCCCCATTCCTGCTCTTTAGTTATCTTTAGCTCAGAATGTTTTTCCTTTATACTGTTTTTAAAATAATGATTGCAATCAACATGTTTCTGAAGACCACCTTACCATGTAAGGGTTAAAAACCAGATACCTCCACCTGGGGAAGCAGTAACCACAGCACTCAAGGAACAATCAACTACACAGATTGCCGCCTGATTATTGGCCCTCCTTCTACTAAACCCAAGCTTTGCTATTGGCTAGCAAGGCCACCTATCTTATATGGCAGCCTCCGGATCCTGTGCATTTCCAAGGATCAGGAGGCTGCCAAATGGGATGGGTAGCCTTGCTAGCTAGTGCTGGGCCTATCATTTTCCAGTAACTTGTGTGGTCAACACATGTCTAATAGAATGTGAGGAGTTTGGGGATCTGCAGGTGGCCTGAAGATAAAACAATTATAAATTGCCTGTTTTATGGACCTTGAGCCTCCTTAAAAGCCAAGTTGAACCTACAATCTCACGTTAAGAGAATATCATTATGTCAACTCTACATCACTCTTCTGATGGACAATAGAAAAACTGTCCAAAAACAAAATTATACTCTGGCCAAAGTCCAAGAAAAAAATCATCTTGTAAACAACCTTTCAAAGTTTTTGTATGATTAAGATGTATAGATAACACATTTCACCTGTAGACAAAAGGTCTTTTTTAGCTCACTTATTCTCTGCAAATTCACATGTGCAAATAATAACTATGGGAAAATAAAGAACTTGTTTATCATTTAGCAGGGATATTCCAGCATACTGATACAATTAAACGGAATTTCTAATAATGGCAGAGCCTGTCTCTCAAAGGAACCTGTTTTTACATGCATATAAATAGGGATGTCTACTTGTATCGGTATCAGGGGCCGATGCTGGGGACCTCACAGCAGCTGTCTTTGACAGTGCCGGTCCGGCCGCTCATCTACTCCTTCCCGCCGCCCACAGAGACTGGCACAGCACTTGACAGCCTCACACCCACTTGTACTGCCCTGGAGCCCAGCACACACCTGTTCAGCCATGGAGAGCCTAGCATCCACCTGCAGAGCCCTGGAGAGCCTGGCACCCATGTGTACAGTTATGGAGAGATCTGCAGCCCTGGTGAGATCCTAACATAGCCCTAGTGAGACCAAAACCCAGCCTTGGCCACATCTGCACACAGCCCTGGGAGACTCAAATGCAACCCTGGTGAGATCTGCACGTAGCCCTGTTGAGACCCAAACGCAGCCCTGGCAAGACCCAAATGCAGCCCTGGTCGGACCACACTTGCAGCCCTGGTGAGACTTGCATGCAGCCCTGGTGAAAACCAAACACAGCCCTGATGAGACCTTCATGCAGCCCTGGTGCAACCTGCGTGCAACCCTGGTTAGCATTAGTGCTGTAATACAGGTGCTGTAACACTGTACTGTATAGTAGATCCCAACTGACCTGGGGAAACAGAACATACAGAGGCGTGAGCTTACTTATGGCCTGGTGTGCCCCGGGACTGTCTGACAGCACGACTGGAGATCTACAACAGACATCTCAACTCTCCCGGATTTTCCGGTAGTCTCCCGCTATTAGTTAGCGGCTCCCGGACACCTGGGAGAGAAACATTTTCTCCCAGAAAGGTTTACTCTGCTCGATCTAGCAGAGTAAACCTTTCCGTGCTGTCTGGTTTTGGTTTTTTTCTGACATCAGGGCTGCCGGCCGCCATCAGTAAGAAAAAGAAAAGGCATAGGAACTAATGCCAATAGATTGCTATTGGCTATTTCAATTTGGAATAGCCAATAGCAGACTAGCTATTGCACCCGACTACTGCTGCTGTCAATCAGGGTGGACCTGAAGTTCTCCATCAGGTCCACCTCTGCTGACTGACAGCTTGCTATTGGCTTTTGCAAATTGAAATAGCCAATATTGATCTAGCTATTAGTTCCTATGCCGTTTTATGCCATTAGCTTCTTTGCTATCTGCCGTCATTTCGGGGGTTTAGCTTCTTTGCTATCTGCCATCATTTCAGGGGGGTGCTCTCGTCCTTGTTGTTGCACCGCGGTTAACAGAGGGCACCTCCCTGAAATGACTTATTTCAGGTTGGGATCCATGTCTACAATGCACTGTACAGTATTCCATGAGCCTACAGTACAGTAGTAGGAGTGATCTAGGGGGGAGCATATGCACAGCTCTCGATCACAGTCACAGCTTCCCACAGGGACAGTACCAGCGGAAATCACACTCTTTGGCCCCAATCTTCTACCCTCTCTATCCTCCCATTCTGGAGAGCCCTCTCTCCCTCTCCTACAAAGTCGCAGAGGAATGACAGAACAGTGAGTGCACTGTGGGGGGTTTTTGCCGGTTAATGAGAGTTTAAGTTAGTTGAATACCAGTTAACAGAGAGTTTGTTGTATTGGGATGAGTACATTTTACTCTCCCAATACTTCTCCTTTTATAATAATGATGTTTCACAAATAAATGCAGCTACTGTACAATGATAACAGGAACATTTTAACCTGAATTAAAGACTATATTGTCTGTAAATTTTCACACTTAAAGCTGAACTCCAGGCAGATATAAAAGACAAAATAAAAATGCAGCACTGTAACCATAACACATCTTCACTAATATATATTTTGTAAATGCAAGCAATGTCAGTACCTTTAGTTTCGTATCAGTCTCTTGTAGTCCCTGTACAGCAGAGCTCAGATACTGTATGTTTATTCCATTTGTATATTTCCCTGTTTGACTGGGCACACACCTTACAACCTGGTTGTAAGTTAATAAAAAAAAAACGTATGATCTGCCTACCTTGGACAGGCATATCGTACTTGTGATGATCGCAAGCCCACCCCACTGAGGGGCGGGCTTCCGATGACCGCAATGCCGAACGGGCAGTTGCGCACACCGGCGTGTGCGGCTTTTATCTTGCGAACATGCCACAAACCAGCCGAAGATCGTACGATGGTCGGCTGGTTTTCAAACATGTTCCTAAGGTAAAAGTCGTGCAACCTTACAGTAGCAGAGGTCGCACGGCTCCCACACACCTTACGATAATGGAACGATCGTATTATCGTACGATTATTGTAAGGTGTGTGGGCACCTTTTGTCTGGAGTTCAGCTTTGAGCACAGGAGGGCTTAGTGTTCAGCTGGTTATACTAACGAGCTGACTTCAAATTCACTATGTACCATATCAGTCAGCATCAGCCCATAGACAAGTAAGACAAAACATAAATTTCTAATGTAAGCAAGAATCCATATCAACAAGGCATAGGTGTCACATGACGTTTATATGGCTTTACTAAAAATGATAGCAATAAAAAAAATAGCAAAGATGTGTAAATAAAGCAAAATTGTCTTGATCTTGTTCCTAATTTTGAACTCCAAACTCAATGACAACACTTCCTAGAATAAAAGTTTCCAAGCATACTGTTCGTGGAATGGAGAGAAATCACAGTAAAATTGTTCATGTTACTGATATATTTTGTGCAGGTGCTCCAGACATTTTTTTCATTACTCCCGCCATTACATCCACTTTAATCATTTACATGAGAAACACTACCAGCCCCCAGCTCCCTGCTCATGAGTGACCCACCAGCAATAAACCACTTTCTTAGGCCAACCACTGCCTATATCAACACCCCCACCCACTGCATTTGCCCCATGACACTGTAGCAATGCATGTTGAGAGTTGTGGAGGTGTCACAGCAACATGAAAGCTCATTTGTATTTTAAAGTTCATATAACTGCACTATACATTATATTAAGAAAAGAAATAGTAAAACGTGTAATGAAAAATGTGTATATACAGCAGGTTTATGTTGGTCTTGATTTTAAAGTGACACTAAACCCAGGAATGAAATCTTAAAAATGCATTCAAGTACTTTACCTATTAACAGAAATGTATCTTGTTTGTGTATAACTCTACTGTAGATCCTCAAATCATCTCTGAATTGGTGCTGACACTGTCCTTCCTTCTGGAGGGTGACTACTTTTGTTCCCCATGGTCCCTGTGTGTGTTATAAAGTAGCCACCGCTCCAAGCTCGCTCCCGTGATGGACTACAATCTCACATTTAGTTTACTTATTTGTATTGAGATTGTAGTCTATCACAGGAGCGAGCTTGGAGCGGTGACTACTTTACAACACAGACAGGGACCATGGGGTCGGGTGACGTCACATGTATACATAGGTACCGCTATCTTGGACGCAGCAAGATGCCGGTGCCCATACAAAATGAAATATTGTATGCCTGCATATAGTTTTGTTTTGTATATTCGGGCATATAATAATTTGTTATTTTAGATTCAGATGAACTGCCCAATCAACAGAATTTTGTGATTTAGCAAGTTCGTCCAAAACAGAATGCACTTGTCCACTAATAATCATATTGATCTAGAGGTTTGTACACGTACTTATTAAGGATGCCCATAGGATAAACTTCCTCAATGCAGTGACACAAATATGCACTTCCTTGTGTCACCACGCTCACAAAGCCTGCAGTCCAAACTGCAACTCTTTCTCCTCTCTCACAGTGAACACAAAAAACACCTACAATGTAGCCTTATTATTGCTAGCTGGTAGCAATGCATTATGGGATATGTAGTCTTGAGAAATTGAGGTTGCATCACATCAAGCAGCAGGGAAAGAGATGCAAAGCACTCTGGAAATCCTGGAAGCTGGTGAAAGCGATGGGCAGACAGAAAGTAGCACTCACTACATAAAATAAACTTTGATTCCATTATCAAAAACAACTCTAGTATGTATTCCTATCACAATGCTGATCTTATAGCAGGATAGTATACGCTCTGACATCAGAACTCCTTTAATTACGGAACATATACAATATCTGTGGCATTTTTAAAGCACTACAGTGCTTTGAAAAGGTATGCAGTACATGTCTGCCGTACATGTACAATTCTTCATGTTTTATTGCTTTAACCACTTGAAGACCAGGTGTTCCACCCCCTTCCTGGCCAGGCCATTTTTCAGTATTCATCGCTGCGGCACTTCGACTGACGTTTGTTCCATCATACAACTCTGTACTGAAACTAATTTCATACCATGTTTTGGGGACAGATAGAGCTTTCTTTTGGTGGTATTTAATCACCACTGGGGTTTTTATTTTTTACTATATAACAAAAAAAGTATCCTAAATTTTGAAAAAAAACATGTTTCCCTATAAAATGTTATGAAACATTTATTATTACCCCAATTTTTTGGTACAATATAAAAGTCGGGGTCACGTCGAGTAAATAGACACTAAACATGTCAAGCTTTAAAATTGCATATTTGTAAATATTTTTTTTAGCTTCTTTATTTTTTTTAATGCTTTAATTTTTTTTTTTAGACTTAACTTTATTGCTATCACATAAGGTACTAAGAAATCACCTATGTGATAGCCAGTTCACCAAACAGGTCCTCTTTATGGAGACATCAGGGGTCTCCAAGACCTCTGATGTAACCTAGGGACCCCCAGAGAAGCTGAGGAAGCAGAGATCTGCTTCCTCAGCTTCTCTCCGGTGTTCAGCACCGGAGAATGACACCGAATGCAGGAAGTGATGTAATATACATCACTTCCTGCTTTCAGGGACAGGAAACGAGATCAAAGGGAGATCGAGTAATGATCTCCCTTTGATCTGCTGTTAAGAGCGTCGCCGTGCCGGTCCCAGCCGCACTGGTCACAGCAGATCACGGGACCGGCAGCGAGGAGAAGGCGGGGTATGGGGGGAGGGGCGCACACCCGCAGCTCCTGCAAGCGATCGGGCGTCTCTAGAGACGCTGGCTGTTTACATGCTCACAGTTTCCCCTCTCGTGTGCGCGCCGAGCGCCGGACACGAGAGGGGCAGGACGTCTTAAGCACCCTACCGCTCTTAGCAGACTCCCGTCTGGCCATTCACAAACGGCCATGGACGGGAGGTTGTTAAGGACCCTGCTAGTACAGCTAAAATGTATTTTTAACTTTGCCGCCAAATTGGGATAACACCTATTTTATATTTGTTACATGTTTCTCATTCACATAGTACAACTTAATTTTTTTTTTTTTTTTTGCTGCTTGCACAATACATGCTCTATTCTAAAAGAAAATGTGTTCTGAGATGCAAGGGGGTTCAGGTTAATGTTAACATAATTAACCCTGTATGTACTGTGGCAGCAGATCTTACTATCAATTGGATTTAAACAATGTCTGTCCTAACAAAGGGTTAGAGCTCTAGAAGCATTATTTGTTAATGCTCAGGGATAGGGCTTAGTCTGTCCCTAGTATTTCTATTACGACAGCCAGAGTTTTCTTTCACTTGGAAATTGAGAGAGAAGCTATCAAATGCTACACAGACACAAAAGGAAATAAATATGTTTGAACAAATTACTTTTAGGTATGGCGTGTGAATAGGAACGCATAACAAACACGTAGTGGGGTTTTCTCATATTGCTAAATGCTAACTACACTTTAGGCGCTGTTGTGGCCTGAGCAGTGTCAGCCCTGCCCAGTTGTCTTTTGCTAAACCACTGAAATCCTCACAATCTCATAGATCTACAACATAAAGAATAATTAGCTAATTTGTCTGTAGTCCATGATAAGACCTAGGAGGGCTAGATAGGCTATTTGAGATAACACAGGATGTTTTCAGAGGATACAGGATAACTCTAAGTCTCTGACAAGGTCAATAGGTTTTTTTTCATTTTTTTATTGCACTTATCCAGCAGATATAACAAAACTCTTATAGTATATTTAACAGACCAAAAAAGAGCAAATAAGAGAAGTTCATTGTTAGGGTTTACATACACGTTAAGAGTAAATAAGAAACTTTGTCCAAACGTTGTGTACTTAATTAATAAAACCTCCAGTATAAACATAACTTATTGGTCCGAAATTAATAAACATACCATTAACATGTGTGCATTATTTTAGGTTCAAGAGCTTGCCAACATTAAATACAATTCTGTCAATATAAAAGCACTTTAATAATATTTACTGTGTACATGTTCACAACTTGATAAAACACTATGGGGTGGGGGGGGGGGATTTATCAAAACTGGAGCAGACAAAATCTGGAGCATTTGCTTATGGCAACTAATCAGCTTCTCTCTTCAGTTTGTTCAGTTAAGATTTGAAAAGAGAGAAGCTGATTGGTTGCCATGGGCAACTGCTCCAGATTTTGTCTGCTCCAGTTTTGATAAATTCCCCTCAACATATTTCCTATAACATCATCATTATGGGTTGGGAAACATTGCCTGTTAATCTCATAACAGACCATCTCCACCTTGCATTGATAAGCCTTTGTTAGCCTAAAATGGCTGAAAACATGGAGCGTCACACTTAATCTGAATTGTGTTTCTCAATATTCAGAAATGTTACTGGTAAATATCCATTTTCCTTTCCATAAAGTACCATGTATACTAGATGATTTAGGATTACTCATTCAATGTAAAGGTGCAAATTCTCTTTGAAGGATGCCACCCACCAAAACTTTTTGACATGGCCAAATGAGGTCTACAGTTTCTCATACCTCATATTTATTACTCTATGTTCCCATCCGTAATTATGATACATAAAGCTGGAACTACCAAAGGAGGAGACAACTTTTACTAAGCAAAGCAAAAAATTAATTCAGTGAAGTGGATAAAGTGAAGCTATATCATGTACAAGAACAATCCTGTTTGCTTTGAACTTCCCTTACATATGGTTATGTATTCAGAGTGAACTAATTTTCTTGTTATTTCGCTTAGCTTTTGTGAACAATCTCTGCTTTAGTCAATTATCTCCAATGCTTACATGAACTCCTTTCCCCAGATCAGAAAGTCAAGGGCCAGAAGCAGAAAACACATGGTGCTGTCCATGGTACTGTAATAGTAAGAACACAATACAAACAATGCAGGCATGTTTAAAAGTGGAAAGAGAATGTGCAAAGAGTCATAAAGCAGAGCAACCAATCAGATTTCATTTTACTGAAACATGAGTTCTGATGGATCGCTCTTGGTTAGCACATTGCCATTTGCTTTATTAGATATGCTGAACAGTGGTAGCCTATTGTACAAATACCATGTATGATAGCACATTGTATATAGCTGTATGCATGAGTGTATCAGAGGAACAATTACTTACAACACCAGCTGATGATTGAAGCCACCTCTTGCTCCTGAGAGCAAACCAAGTTGACACAAAGTTGCTGCACTCAGCGCAGTAAACACAAGCCTTTTTTTTTTTTTTTTCCTCTGCGCACTTTAGCTTCTGTTTAATTCAAAGGAGGTACTCACCATGTTGACTTCAGAGACCATATCTATGCTTGCCACAGCTATTCTCATTCCAACCTCAACAGGAGGGCCTGTGAAAGAGAAAGCAACAGACAGACGTGTCACAGCACCCATTTGCATATTAATTCTGGCATCATTTTTCAGATGGATTGTTGGTGCTGGTTGTTTATTCACGTGTGCAGTCAATGTGCAGTGTGCATCAACAAGAAGCACAGAAAATGGGTATGTTATTAACATGGATAAAATATGACCATAGATGGTTATTTTTACCTCCAAAATCTGGCCTCAGACGGATGTCATAGCCTTTGAGCAATCTATCCACTGTCTCTTTCACATATGACATGTTGCTGGGCTCATTAACGCTGGAGGGTAACAGTAATCAAAAATCATGTCAGACTCGCATATCTGCAGCCGCACATCTCACCTTTGAGCACAGCACACCATGGCTACCATCATAGGAAAAGACACAATCCCGAAATAGCCTCTGTCTTGGAGCGTCCACATTACTAAATGTAACTAAATAAAGGAAATGATGCTTAATATGAGAAAGATTCAACAAATGCAACTAAAGTCTGAAGCAAGGTGATAATTCCTAATAGGACGGCACATGCGCACTGCAAGCAGCATCAACAGACACCGTTTGCTGAAAAAGCTCCCTCTGTGAGAATTGAAAAGAGAAAAAAAAAAACATCCACGGATCCAGATCCTTATACGTTCTGCTTATACCCCTGCTTGGTCCATATAAAAAGATGCAAGGGGTGCTGTTACTGCCCAAACCTCAGTGCTCTGGACAAGCTGATCTCCTTGGACTGCTGAAATGGTCTAAGCATGGCTCTGATTGCAATCTGCTGTAGTAGTAGATCCTGTACGTGCTGTATCACTGGAGCCTGCTGATCAGAATGCGAAGTAGTCTCCCAACATAGGCTCCCAGCGTCTTTTTCCCGAGCTCGGTGTTCCTTAGCAGCCAGCAGCCATTCCCAAGGAAGCTGTTCTGGGAGAGATACGTTCGGTGTTACGTGCAATATGGCATCCCCAGCATCCCCATCAGCGTGGCCATCTCCTGTGCGCGCTGCCGATCAGATACTTCCTACAGTAAAAGCTGAGGGTGAAACAAGTATCCGGTCAAGGCTTTTCTCCCAGGACCGTACATTGTTCTTGTGAAACAAGTTAACTCTAACCTTACAAAGTCTTTTTACAGCTGTCTGTGGCAGAAGCGCTAGACACGCTGCTATTACTGTCCATTGTTTGGACTGATGTAGCAGCACACTTCGCAATCCCCTCCTTTGCTGCTTATGGTAATGCTTGCCTATACAGTCTCCAGTATTTGGACAGTCTATAGATGATCAGTGATAATGCTGTTTCTGATGTGAGCATTTCAATGGTGTCCTTAGTATTCATATTTTTTTTATGATGCTTATCAAGGGGTCTTTTCAGATTCACACAACTTTCACCGTAGAGTTACACATTTTTCTGTATAGTTTCAAAGGTGGCTAAGGCCGAGTAAGGTAGAAGCATGTCAGCGGTTGTTTTTTGTACAGATGCATGTGGAATACAATTTGGAAGAGCATCATGTGCCAGTTTTGCAGTTACTAAAACATGCACTCTGGAAGAGAGTAGGGATGAGCCGAACACCCCCGTGTTCCGTTCTAATTCGAACTTTCGAACATGGAAAAAGTTCTAATTCGAACTTAGAACTCAATGCAAGTCTATGGGGGTAGAACTCGGAAAATTAAATGTCCCCATTTTGAAGCCTTATATGCAATGTATTGGCCATAAAAAGTGTATGGGGATCCGGGTACTGTCATGGGGGACATGCATCAATGAAAAAAACACTTTTAAAAAATACAAATTTTAAAGGAGCAGTGATTTAACATCACTAAAAATGAAACATTAAAAATTAAAAATTCCTTTAAATATGGTGCCTGGGGGGTCCCCTTTCACTGACTGTAAAGTAGCGCATCTGTATGATGTATAGAACCTGTTTTCGCTCCTCAGCCTCATTCATGTGTCGTCGCGTTACATGCACGTACGCTTACTAACTCGCCACCCAGCCATCTGGTCTGGCGATAGCCCCATGGACAGTAAGCGAGCAGTCGCGGACAGCGGCTCCCCACGTTGCTGCCGGGCAAGTGCTTTCCAGTATCAGGTAAGTAGACTCTGAGTACAAATATATATATATAGACTGAGCAGTGTGGTCTGTGTTAAGGTGGCCACACACCTGACGATAATCGTACGATAAATGCGGGAAATCCCGCGATCGTACGATTATTGTAAGGTGTGTGGGAGACCTCTGCTACTGTAAGGTCGCACGACTTTTATCTTAGGAACATGTTTGAAAACCTGCCGAGAATCGCACGATTTTCGGCGGGTGTGTAGCATGTTTATAAGATAAAAGCCGGACGGGCCGGTGTGCGCAAGCTTCACACAAGCTGAGTCATAGGAGCCAACATTTTGAAGGAATGGATGACCGAGCACCCTTCTACTGTATAAAAGGGTGGGCTCACAGCAGCTATATTGTCAGTGTGTGTGTGTGTGCTGGAACAGTTAAGGTGCCCATACACTGTGCGATTATCGCACGATAAACGCGGGAAATACCGCAATCGTACGATAATCGCAAAGGGTATGCAAGGCGTGCAACCGTTTTTACTGTACGCTCGCACGTCTTTTGTCTAAGGAGCATGCTAGAAAACCCGCCGAGAATCGTACGATTTTCGGCTGGTTTTTAGCATGATCGTAAGATCAATGACGCACACACTGCCCGTTCAGCATTGCGGTCATCGGAAGCCCGCACCTCAGGGGGGCGGGCTTGCGATGATCGAAAGTACGATCTGCTTGTCCAAGATGGGCAGATCGTACGTTTTTTTAATTGCTTTACAACCATCGCAAGACTAAGGTCTTGCGACCCCCCCCCCCAACACACACACAAGTCTATTTGGCCTGGCATACTTTCTTATGCTAAAAATAATTGTACCGTAATAGGGCTGGTTCTTTTATCTTACCCAATTTTTACATGAATTTACAAAACTGAAATTTATATGCAACAGACATTTTGCAGCATGCTGAAATTATTTTGAAACTACAGATTATTACTCATCAGAACCCTATAAGTGTAAGAAGTGCATGAATCGGAATTGATCTCCCCAAGTGAGATTCCCTTTAACATGAAGGTGTGTGTGTGTATATATATATACTGTATATATACTGGGGGAAAAAACATATCTCACTACATCAGGAGTAATATTATATATCACAGGGGTTGCCGTATATATCAAAGGTTATTAAAGAATTCCCTGGTTCATATAGAGATTCACAGGAAGGTGCTAAATCTCTCAGGTGGATATCATGTTTCACAAAGGCATGCCAATAAACATGCGGACATGTCATATGTCACAGTGGACATCTTATAGCACGGGGTAAATAGGAATGCCAAAAATCATATAGATATACACAAGTTGATGCTAAATATCTTAGAGAGGGAGATGTCATATATCAAAAAGGGATTTAAATCCTCATAATGATATGTTATATATCCCAGGCGGATGCCATACATCAAGGTGGAAGGGGAAATGTCATATCACTAGGAGGTGATGAACATACTGTATGTGGTCAGGAGGGATATGGTTCCAGGTTCACTGCTACCATAGCTTTATGGTGAGTTTTTGGGATTGGCAAATCTCAAACTTTTGACTGAAAGGTTTACAGGTTCACTATCCCAAATACAGAACAACCTAAAATGCAGTGCATAATTTTTGCTTCACACCAGCTGAGTCGTAGGAGCCAAAAATTTGAAGGAATGGATGACACAGCACCCTTCTACTGTATAAAAGGGTGGGCTCACAGCAGCTATATTGTCAGTGTGTGTGTGCTGGAATAGTTAAGGTGCCCATACACTGCACGATTCTCATGCGGGAAATACCGCGATCGTACGAGAATCGTGCAGTGTGAATGAAGACGTGCGACCGTTTCTACTGTACGGTCGCACGTCTTTTGTCTAAGGAGCATGCTAGAAAGCCAGCCTAAAATCTTACGATTTTCGGCTGGTTTGAATGATGCTCGGGAGACAAATGCCGAACGGGCCGGTGTGCGCACTCGCACACTGCCCGTTCAGCATTGCGGTCATCGGAAGCTTGCGATGATCGCAAGTACGATCTGCCTGTCCAAGATGGGCAGATCGTACGTTTTTTAAAATTACTTTACAACCATCGCAAGACTAAAGGTGCCCACACACCTTACAATGTATCTGCAGATTTTCTGTGGTCAGATGGAAAAAGTGCAACAGATTGGCCCAGGTGGAGATTCCTCCATCCACACAGTTTAAGGTAGATGGCGGAATCTGTTGCACCTTTTCCATCTGACCACAGAAAATCTACAGATAAATTGTAAGGTGTATGGGCACCTTAAGGTCTTGCGATGGTTGTAAAGTGTATGGCCACCTTTAGGGGGAGCTGACTACTCTGTGTAGGGAGAAATACTGATTGATTGATTGATTTATGTATATATGTATACCATCTTGTCTTGTCTTGTTGGCTCTATATAAAGCCTGTATAATAATAATGATAATGTATGGATGGCATTGGTACATGTCCCTCATAGCAATCCCTAGCTTTTTTTTGCCTTCAGCTTACTTATTAGCCCTACAAATGGCCAGCATTGAATAACAAAATTCACCCCCTTAGACTTCATTGGGGTTTACCCCAACATTTGTAAACTTTGAACTTGGAGCAACATTTGCAAACTGATTTTTTTTTTGTAGGCTAAGAACATTTTCTACAGGTATAGAACATACCTATTGATTCTGCCAGAAATCTGTTGCACTTGTAACTTTCTGTGCAGTGAGCTGAAATCACAATCAAAATTATCAGCACTGCCCAGGTCTGTATGCAGACTATAGAACACCATTACCCATGTTATGAAGATGACATGAGATGAGGGAGAAGTGTTCTGTAGTCCTAACAAACTTCCTGCCCTACAGCGACAGTGGTGTTCCTCCAGAACAGTGAGTGAGCTTGTCACCCTAGGGTAGGAAGTGTGTTACTGGCATGATAACCAGGAGGAACAAAAAGAAAACTAATGCCTAAAAAAGAAAACGAATGCACCCAGCACATCTGGTAAGGTGTAATATATTCAATTTTGGCTCTTGGGTTTAGGTAATCTTTGGGGAACACTGCCCTTAAAGAAATATATTGCTGATTCTTCTTCTTCTTAAAATGCTAGCTGACAGGTTGTCAAGCTGGTGCGTTGGCTTCAGTACTTACTAAGCCTCTGACACAAAAGAACAATAGCAATAAAATAATTCTCTCTGAGAGTTTTCTTTTATTTTATATTTGCTGCATGCTAGTTTCTTAAAATGTTGAAGCCAGGCAGTAAGAATTCTCAGAAGGAGACCAGAAATGGCTACCCCACTGCCTCTCTGTACACACGCCTACTTTAAAGGACAATTTCACTTTAAATTAAGTTGTCCTTTAATTTAACCCCCATCAAATTGATTGCAGGCCACATTGTTA